GCCAGCGCTCCACGGAGCACGACGACCAAGGCCCCGCACCGACTCAGGCCCCACGCGTGGCCCCCGACTCAGGCCCCACACCGACTAGGCCCCACGCGTGGCCCCCGCACCGACCAAGGCCCCACGCGTGGCCCCCGACTCAGGCCCCACGCTGACCAAGGCCCCACGCGTGGCCTCCACACCAACTAGGCCCCGCACCGACTAGGCCCCACGCGTGGCCCCCGACTCAGGCCCCACCACCGCGTGGCCCCACACAGACCAAGGCCCCCGGCCGGCTTCAGCGTCAGCGTCCCCACAGCGCCCCCCCTCGCCGCCAGCCCCCCCCCTGGCCTCGCCTGCCGCTCCTCCACATCCACAACCATTCAGTGGGGGGGGGGCGGGGGGGGGGCAAGGCGCACAAAGACAAAGGGGCCCCCCAAGTCCCCCAAGCCCCAGCGGTGCCACCTGGAACCTCGCCGGGGCTTTGCGGGTCACACCGAGGGGGGAGGGGGGGGGTGGGTGGCCAGCACCGCGCCCGGCCGCCTTTGTCTCCCCGGTGCCGGCGATGTCCGCAGCTACTCGGTTGAGGCCGAGTCGACCTAGGAGAGGCCCAGGACCGGTTCGGGTCGCCGGGTCGGCGGCATGGCGCTAACCGCAGCGCCGCCGCTCCACCCGCGGCAAAACTTAAAAGCAATTTCATCACACAAAAGACAAAGGTCCTCCCCCCGGCCCAGGTAGCCCTCACAGTGCTGTAGGGGCAAGTGCTGTTGGCACGGCACACGTGAGCGGCCGCCCCGTGTCTCCCCAGTGGCGATGCTGACTGGGACCCGGCGGTCTCCACTCAACACCGACCCCTAACGCTGTCGTCGTTGTTCGTACCGCCGGTATCTATGTAACATTAGCATACGAGTAGCTTATCATTGGCATATCATTTGAATGAAGTAAACTCAGGGGAGGGTTCGGTGCATCCACTCCGCCAGCCGGCTGCAGTCCGAGCCTGGCCAAGGGGGTGTACAGACTCAGACAGCGACACACACAGAGACACACAGAGACACACACAGAGACACACACAGAGACACACACAGAGACACACACAGAGACACACACAGAGACACACACAGAGACACACACAGAGACACACACAGAGACACACACAGAGACACAGACTCACAGAGACACAGACTCACAGAGACACACACAAAGACACACACAGAGACACACAGAGACACAACACAGAGACACACAGAGACACACACAGAGACACACACAGAGACACACACAGAGACACACACACACAGACACACACAGAGACACACACACAGAGACACACACACACAGACACACACAGAGACACACACACAGACACACACAGAGACACACACACAGAGACTCACACAGACACACAGACACACACAGAGACTCACACAGACACACAGACACACACAGAGACTCACACAGAGACAGACTCACACACAGACACACACACAGAGACACACACAAAGACACACACAAAGACACACACAAAGACACACACAGACACACACAGACACACACAGACACACACAGAGACACACACACAGAGACTCACACAGAGACTCACACAGACACACAGACACACACAGAGACTCACACAGAGACAGACTCACACACAGACACACACACAGAGACACACACAAAGACACACACAAAGACACACACAAAGACACACACAGACACACACAGACACACACAGACACACACAGAGACACACACACAGAGACACACACAGAGACTCACACAGAGACACAGACTCAAACACAGAGACTCACACACAGAGACTCACACAGACTCACAGAGACTCACACAGACACACACACACAGAGACTCACACAAACACACACAGAGACTCACTCAGACTCACTCACACAGAGACACTCACCAAACAGTGAGACAGACTCACCACACAGACACGGAGACTCGCCACACAGTGACAGACCCACCACAGTGCTACACAGACTCGCCACACAGTGACAGACTCAGAGACACATAGACTTACAGAGACTCGGAGACACGTAGACTTACAGAGACAGACTCACACAGAGACACACAGACACACACAGAGACTCACACAGAGACACACACAGAGACACACACAGAGACTCACACAGAGACACAGACGCATCACTCCCATCACCACCAGCACCATCATCATAATCGTCGCATATCTAGTGACAGCCATCAGTCACCCGTGTCTCTACTGCACCTCCTCCACCTCCTCCACCTCCTCCACCTCCGTCAGCTCCACCTCCTCCGTCAGCTCCACCTCAGACGACCCCACCCCCATAGCCACCGCCCTTGCCTCCAATCCGACCTCCCTGCACCCCGTCACAGTATCCATTACCACCACCACCACCAGCCCCACCACCACCACCAGCCCCACCACCACCACCACCCCCACCACCACCCCCACCACCACCACCGTCATCGTCGTCGTCATCGTAATCGTCGTCGCGTATCCGGTGACTGCCAGCGGTCACCCCGGTCTCTCCACCTACTCCTCCTCCTCCGTCACCTCCACCTCCTCCACCTCCTCCTCCACCTCCTCCACCTCCACCGCCATCGAGCTCGTTGCGTAGCCGGCTCAGCTCCTCGATCTCGTGCCGGTGGCGCTCCGTCTTGTGCCCGACCAGCGAGCGGTAGAAGTGAGCCGCGAACAGCACGAACAGCAGCCCCACGGGGGCCATCACGGCCGTGGCGGCCAAGGCAGCGTCCCTCCCCTCGTCGCTGCCGCCTCCAGGGCCGGGGTAGAGCGGCGGCGAGATGACGAGGGGAGGCGTGGGGGGGATGACGAGGTGGTGGTCGTGGTCGGGGTGAGCGGGGGGCGACACGGGGGACAGCGGCGGTGGATGTGGAGGTGGTGGATGTGGTGGTGGATGTGGCGGTGGCGGCAGCTGCTGCTGAGGTCGCTGAGCGGCGCCCAGGGGGAGGAACTTCACCCAGCAGAGGAGAACGACCTGCGGGGAGGGGAGAGCAGGTGGGTGAGTGGGAGAGTGAGTGGGTGAGTGGGTGGGTGGGTGAGTGGGTGGGTGGGTGGGTGAGTGGGTGGGTGAGTGGGTGGGTGAGTGGGTGAGTGGGTGGGTGGGTGAGTGGGTGGGTGAGTGGGTGAGTGGGTGGGTGAGTGGGTGGGTGAGTGGGTGGGTGGGTGAGTGGGTGAGTGGGTGGGTGAGTGGGTGGGTGGGTGAGTGGGTGGGTGAGTGGGTGAGTGAGTGGGTGAGTGGGTGGGTGAGTGGGTGGGTGAGTGGGTGAGTGGGTGGGTGAGTGGGTGGGGTGAGTGGGTGGGTGAGTGGGTGAGTGGGTGGGTGAGTGGGAGAGTGAGTGGGTGGGTGAGTGGGTGGGTGAGTGGGTGAGTGGGTGGGTGAGTGGGTGGGTGAGTGGGTGGGTGAGTGGGTGAGTGGGTGGGTGAGTGGGTGGGTGAGTGGGTGAGTGGGTGGGTGAGTGGGTGAGTGGGTGAGTGGGTGGGTGAGTGGGTGGGTGGGTGGGTGGGTGAGTGGGTGGGTGAGTGGGTGAGTGGGTGAGTGGGTGGGTGGGTGAGTGGGAGAGTGAGTGGGTGAGTGAGTGGGTGGGTGGGTGAGTGGGTGGGTGAGTGGGTGAGTGAGAGAGTGAGTGGGTGGGTGAGTGGGTGGGTGAGTGGGTGAGTGGGTGAGTGGGTGGGTGAGTGGGTGAGTGGGTGGGTGAGTGGGTGAGTGGGTGAGTGAGTGGGTGGGTGGGTGAGTGGGAGAGTGAGTGGGTGAGTGAGTGGGTGGGTGAGTGGGTGGGTGGGTGAGTGGGTGAGTGGGAGAGTGAGTGGGTGGGTGAGTGGGTGGGTGAGTGGGTGGGTGAGTGGGTGAGTGGGTGGGCGAGTGGGTGGGCGAGTGGGTGGGTGGGTGAGTGGGTGGGCGAGTGGGTGGGCGAGTGGGTGGGTGGGTGAGTGGGTGGGCGAGTGGGTGGGAGAGTGAGTGGGTGAGTGAGTGGGTGGGTGAGTGGGTGGGTGAGTGGGTGGGTGAGTGGGTGGGTGAGTGGGTGAGTGGGTGGGCGAGTGGGTGGGTGAGTGGGTGGGTGAGTGGGTGGGCGAGTGGGTGGGAGAGTGAGTGGGTGAGTGAGTGGGTGGGTGAGTGGGTGGGCGAGTGGGTGAGTGGGTGGGTGGGTGAGTGGGTGGGTGAGTGGGAGAGCGAGTGGGCGAGCTAGTGGGTGGGCGAGCGAGTGGGTGGGCGAGCAAGTGGGTGGGCGAGTGGGAGAGCGAGTGGCTGGGCGAGCGAGTGGGTGGGCGAGTGGGAGAGCGAGTGGGTGAGTGGGCAAGTAAGTGGGCGAGCGAGTGGGTGGGCGAGTGGGTGAGTGAGTGGGCGAGCGAGTGGGCGGGCGAGTGGGTGTGTGGGAGAGTGAGCGAGTGGGCGAGTGGAGTGGGCGAGTGGAGTGGGCGAGTGCAGTGGGCGAGTGTGTAAGCGAGTGAGCGAGTGGAGTGGGCGAGCGTGTGAACGAGTGAGCGAGAGTGCGAGTGAGTGGAAGAGCGTGCGCGGGAGAACGGGCGGGAGATTGCGTAAGTGAGCGAGTGTGTGGGCGAGTGGAGATGTGATGAGCGAGTGCGCGAGTGAGCGGGCGAGCGAATGGACGAGTGTGTGGGCGAGTGGAGATGTGAGCGAATGGGCGAGCGAGTGGGCGAGCGAGTGGAGTGGGCGAGTGGAGATGTGATGAGCGAGTGCGCGAGTGAGCGGGCGAGCGAATGGGCGAGTGTGTGGGCGAGTGGAGATGTGAGCGAGTGAGCGTGCGAGCGGGCGAGCGAGTGGGTGAGTGTGTGGGCGAGCGAGCGTGCGAGCGGGCGAGCGAGCGAGCGAGCGAGGTGGTGGTTAGCCGAGCGAGTCTGGGACCGACGACGGAGCTTCCGTCCGTGTCACCCCCCCCCACCCCCCCCCCACCCCCCCCCCCACCCCCCCCCACCCCCCCCCCCACCTCAGCGAGGAAGAGCAGCGTGCCGATGACGGTGCTGAAGGCCCAGGCGAGCTCGATGTAGCCGTGCATGCGCTCGTGCGGGCTCTCGTCCACGGCGTGCAGGTTGTGCACGTTGCTCACCGCCTCCAGGTTGGGCAGGATGCACGTGCTGATGAGCAGCGCAAACAGGTGCACGGCCACCAGCACCGTGGTGCACACGGAGAACGCCACCAGCAGCCCCCGCGGGTACACGTGGCCCACGTCCAGCTGCACCTCCACCATCGCCACCTGGGTCAGGGTGAGGGTGGTAGTGAGGGTGGTGAGGGTGGTAGTGAGGGTGGTGAGGGTACAGGGTGAGGGTGGTGAGGGTACACGTGGCCCACGTCCAGCTGTACCTCCACCATCGCCACCTGGGTGGTGAGGGTGGTGAGGGTACAAGGTGAGGGTGGTGAGGGTGGTGAGGGTGGTAGTGAGGGTACACGTGTCCCACGTCCAGCTGCACCTCCACCATCGCCACCTGGAGGGTGAGGGTACAGGGTGAAGGTGGTGAGGGTACAGGGTGAGGGTGGTGAGGGTACAGGGTGAGGGTGGTGAGGGTACAGGGTGAGGGTGGTGAGGGTACACGTGTCCCACGTCCAACTGTACCTCCACCATCGCCACCTGGGTCAGGGTGAGGGTGGTGAGGGTACAGGGTGAGGGTGGTGAAGGTACAGGGTGAGGGTGGTAGTGAGGGTGGTAGTGAGGGTGGTGAGGGTACACGTGCCCCACGTCTAGCTGCACCTCCACCATCGCCACCTGGGTGGTGAGGGTACAGGGTGAGGGTGGTGAGGGTGAGGGTGGTGAGGGTACAGGGTGAGGGTGGTAGTGAGGGTACACGTGTCCCACGTCTAGCTGTACCTCCACCATCGCCACCTGGGTGGTGAGGGTACAGGGTGAGGGGGTACAGGGTGAGGGGGTCAGGGTGAGGGGGTCAGGGTGAGGGTACAGGGTGAGGGGGTCAGGGTGAGGGTACAGGGTGAGGGGGTCAGGGTGAGGGTACAGGGTGAGGGGGTCAGGGTGAGGGTACAGGGTGAAGGGGTCAGGGTGAGGGGGTCAGGGTGAGGGTACAGGGTGAGGGGGTCAGGGTGAGGGGGTCAGGGTGAAGGGGCCAGGGTGAAGGGGTCAGGGTGAAGGGGTCAGGGTGAGGGTATAAGGTGAGGGGGTCAGGGTGAGGGGGTCAGGGTGAGGGGGTCAGGGTGAGGGTACAGGGTGAGGATACAAGGTGAGGGGGTCAGGGTGAGGGGGTCAGGGTGAAGGGGTCAGGGTGAAGGGGTCAGGGTGAAGGGGTCAGGGTGAGGGTATAAGGTGAGGGGGTCAGGGTGAGGGGGTCAGGGTGAGGGGGTCAGGGTGAGGGTACAGGGTGAGGGTACAGGGTGAGGGGGTCAGGGTGAGGGGGTCAGGGTGAAGGGGTCAGGGTGAAGGGGTCAGGGTGAAGGGGTCAGGGTGAGGGTATAAGGTGAGGGGGTCAGGGTGAGGGGGTCAGGGTGAGGGGGTCAGGGTGAGGGGGTCAGGGTGAGGGTACAGGGTGAGGGTACAAGGTGAGGGGGACAGGGTGAAGGGGTCAGGGTGAGGGGGTCAGGGTGAGGGTACAGGGTGAGGGGGTCAGGGTGAGGGGGTCAGGGTGAGGGTACAGGGTGAGGGGGTCAGGGTGAAGGGGTCAAGGTGAGGGTACAAGGTGAGGGGGACAGGGTGAGGGGGTCAGGGTGAGGGGGTCAGGGTGAGGGTACAGGGTGGAGTGGGATAGGCTTCAACAGGCTGTAGGGGCAAGTGCTGTTAGTAGCAGCAGCAGCAGCGCCTATGAAGGCTGCCGGCGCTGTGGCTACACACACACACACAGAGGGGGGTGGGTGGCTACCAGCACCACGCCCGGCCGCCTTTGTCTCTCCCCCAGTGCTGGCGATGTTTAACCACCACACATCGCAGCCAGGTCACTCGTTTGACGCTGAGTGGACCTAGGGGAGAAGAGGCCCAGGTCCGGTTCAGGTAACCACCGTTACTGGCCGCGAGATGGATATCGAATCATCATCATCACGACTCCCGTGGGCGATAAAGCGGAGTAACCCAACTCAGCTGCGACACTTACCGACAGTTTGCTGGGGATGTTTTATTTTTATTTTACGGCTTTAAAAGTTACAAAATCACCGCCGACGACGATCAAGTGACACTTTCAGTAACTCGCAAGATTGTGGTCCCACCTCAAAGAAATCATTAAGAGAAAAAAACTCCCCCCCGTGGGATGCGCAGTAAAGGCCGCTACGATGCCTACGCTCTTGCCTGAGCGGCCTGCCGCAAAACACGAGGGGTGGAGGGTAGGCGGGGGGCGTCCGGGGTGGGTCGGTGTTGGTTCTCATCAAGTGAGGGGAGGCTACGAAACGTCTGGGAATCCATTCACCATGGCGAAGCCGGAGAGCAGCGCCGACGTGCGGGAAGACGCCTTGAGTTTGGCGCGGCTGAGGTAGAGTTTGCGCCATGACAGCGCCTGGATCGAGTGTTCGTTCGCAGTCATAAGATGGACGTAGCCTCGCTGGACCCAGCCGGGATAAGAGTCGTGCCCGGGAGGGCGGCCCCGCGGCGGCGGGGACGAGCAGGCGAGGGAGGGGGGCCCGACTCGGCCAGGGCCCCACATTTGGGTTCAAGTGGGCGGAGACTTTTTTTTTTATAATTTCTGAGGAGATTTTTTTATTTTAAAGATTAAAATGTTTGATTGTCGTCTTCCGTCAGTTATTATGTTTTTTTTTAATTAACACAATTAGTTTTAATTAGAAACTAAGTGTCCGTGTTAATTATGTTTATCGGATTGTTTAAGAGTTGACCACCGAGTATTGGGGGAGTTCGTCTAAAGTGTCGAATTGAAATGTTTATATTCTGAATGCGTAGATTTTAAACATTTATAACGATAACCCGTTGTCATGTAACGATTGCTACGTGCAAGCTATGATAGTGAATGTTAATCTCGCAACGTAAATGGTTAACCCAGTTTTATGGTCGTAAATTACAATATCGCTATTGTTCCGCTGGTAACGTAATAACATCTACAGTTCGTACAATATAAGAGTGATATTAATACCGGTATTAGCATAATAGTTTGCTATGTGCGATGGTAAGTGGATATTATAATCCTATTTAGAGTTAAATGTCTCAAATATAATATTATATTCGCTTCAATGCAATGCTATTATAAGCCTTTGATATAATGTTACCCGCTAAAATCAACTTCTATATATATTCCTTCCACTAATGTACAACACATTATGTTTACAGATTACTGTGCAGTTCATAATCTTGTAAATAAAATCGGCTTTTAAAATCGGTATAATGGCACGAGCACTAGCCAATGAACGCTGTTCACACTGCAATGTATACAATTAATTAAATTACGATACGATTACATCTTTACGTGCGATTAATGGTATTCTATTTACACGTGGGTGTACCTTTACATCGCTAAGTTTATATAAAAATTTTAAAAAACCTTTAAAAAATGTTTAAAATTACATCACCAGCCGCGTGTGGAGAGATGGAGGAGGCGATGCCTAAATCCAGCAGTAGATCGAGCAAGCGACAAAATAAACCTCGACTTGGGGTCGTAATTTCGTTTAATAATTTTGTTAAATTATCGCCAAAAACTTACAATCGTGGCGAGGCGATTGCTAAAGTTTGGGTTTATCGAGAACCACGCCTCAAACATTATTTAATTATTCACCTCTTCGTTTCCACTCGCATTTTGGGGCATTTTTTTGTCAACACGCCACGTTGGTTGGGGAGGGGGGAGACCAAACCATTTGCGTCGAGGGGTGTGCGTGAGCAGTAGGGGGGGGTGGATCCTAATCTTATTGGTAATTTGGACGAAACCATCTAGTTTGAAGAATTCCCCCCCCTCCATTCACCACCACGCCCCCACCGTTGACTGAATTTGTCCACATGGTACAGTCCGGGGCGGATGGACATTTGATAAACATTCGCACAGTCGGGGTTTGCCGCGACGCGGACTAAACCAATTCGGCTTTTAGGCAGAGGGGTGTTTTTACCAAAATGCCGTTGACTTCTAAGGGACGAAAGCAAGTGAATATCCGAACACCCCCCTACCTCATCTTGCCTATATTGGTCGAGCCAATGGCAATTTGATAAACATTGCAGAGTTTCCCGCGGTGTGGAGCAAACCATTACCGGTTACACTTGGGGGGGGGGGGGTGCGCGGAACGGGTCTGAAGAGCAATGCTGTTGAATTGTATAGGGCGATACCATTATAGAAACTAGAATAACCCCCTTGTTATAATTGACTCTTTACCCAAGAATGTCCGTGTGTAACGCGCGTGACGTCACTCCGCGTGGACCAGCCCCCCTCATTAATAATCATGAACACGTGACGTCCTCCAAATGGACCCCCCCCTCACCATTAATTAGCGGGTGACGTCACTCCACATGGGGGGGGGGGGCGAGGTGCCCCCTCCCCCCTCCGCGGCGTCAACTGACAACCCTCGCGTCACGTGGTGTGCGTGACGCTGCTGAGACATCAAAGTAAAATGGACGTCTCGATTTGAACTTTCGTGACTGCAGCGATTCATCTTCTTGGTTCTTTCGGTAAAGTCACGTAGAGTGGAAATAATAAAATAAAATTAAAATAAAACATAATAAAATAATTATTTTATTTTATTATGTTTTATTTTTTATTCACGTAGAATGGAAATAAAAAAACATAATAAAATAAATATTTTTAAATAATAAAAAATAAAACATAATAAAATAAATATTTTAAAATAATAAAAAATAAAACATAAGAAAATAAATATTTTATAATGTTTTATTTTTTAAAATTTTATTATTTCCATTCTACGTGACTTTACCGAAAGAACCAAGAAGAATAATGGACGTCGTGATGAACTCAGGGACTTTAAACTTTAGGGGCCGCCCATAAATGACGTCACGCACCTGGGGGCAGGGGGGGGGGTCAGACATTTGTGACGATGTGTGACGAAGGGGGGGTGAGAAATGTGACGTCACGTCAAAATGCGCAACTTTTAATAAATATAGAATAGCTATAACAACACTAATTTTTCTTCTTGGTTCTTTCGGTAAAGTCACGTAGAAGGGAAATAATAAAATAATACAAATACAACATAATGAAATAATAATATTTTATTATGTTTTATTTTTATTTTATTTAATAATATAATAAAATTGTATTATGTTTTTTTTATAATTTTACTTAATAATATAATAATATGTTATTATGTTTTATTTTTGTTATTCTATTTAATAATATAATATTTTATTATGTTGTATTTTTATTATTCTATTATTTCCCTTCTACGTGACTTTACCGAAAGAACCAAAAAGATTAATCCCTGCAGTCACGAAAGCTTTAAATCGAAATTTAACACTAATTTTGATCGATTTTCATGATTAACTATTTGATTATTTAAATTTACTAAGGTCACCTTTTATTATTCCATGAAGGATCATTTTGCTTCTCCATGGGAGAATGGAGAAGCACACATTTTGAACATTTTTTAAAATTATTTTTATTAAACATTTTGATTCTAATGATTCTACCAGGGATTTTCATTCTGTGGAATGAATATATGATTGTTATAATTGTACTCTACATTTTGCTACGTTCTACTACAAAGTGTAAAGTATTTTTTAAATAGTTATAATGAATTTTAATATTTTATAATTATAAGATAATTTCAATATTAAAAATTCTGAACATCCGCAGTTTTAATGAGACGTTGAATATTTTCCAGTTCATTTCAGCTTTACAACGCCTCCTTAGTAATAAATGTTTTCTCCGACAACATCAGAGTTGCAGCGCCACATTAAATACGCACTACAATGACAAGAGTTTAAAGCGATTTGGAGCGAGTTTTATTTTTTTGAGGGGGGGGGCAGAGCTTTGTGACGTCAGATTTGAGGGGGGGGCAGAGCTTTGTGACGTCAGATTTGAGGGGGGGGCAGAGCTTTGTGACGTCGTGTGATGTCAAAAATTGCGTGACGTCATTTATTGACGGCCCCTATATAACAGCCGACGTTTCGTGCAACGACCCTTCGTCAGAGCGCGCACGATGATTTCCTTAAGGCAGCGGTGTTGTTACAATCAATTAAAATCACGTCACGTGCCCTGACGAAGGGTCGCTGCCAGAAACGTCGCCAATTCGTGACAAGTGGGTCATGTTGCGAGTGGCTCGCAGCGCTGATGAATCAGGAGCACTGCCTGCTCCAATTCCTGCCGCTTGATACAGAAGTTCACGCAGAAAACTCGCAGAGACTCACCTACCCACTCACCGACTTACTCACTCACCTACTCACTCACTCACCTACTCACTCACTCACCTACTCACTCACCCACTCACTCACCTACTCACCTACTCACTCACCCACTTACTCACTAACTCAACCACTCACTCACCCACTCACCTACTCACTCACTCACCCACTCACCGACTTACTCACTCACCTACTCACTCACCGACTTACTCACTCACCTACTCACCCACTCACCGACTTACTCACTCACCTACTCACTCACTCACCTACTCACTCACTCACCTACTCACTCACCCACTCACTCACCTACTCACCTACTCACTCACCCACTTACTCACTAACTCAACCACTCACTCACCCACTCACCTACTCACTCACTCACCCACTCACCGACTTACTCACTCACCTACTCACTCACTCACCTACTCACTCACTCACCTACTCACCCACTCACCGACTTACTCACTCACCTACTCACTCACTCACCTACTCACTCACTCACCTACTCACTCACCCACTCACTCACCTACTCACCTACTCACTCACCCACTTACTCACTAACTCAACCACTCACTCACCCACTCACCTACTCACTCACTCACCCACTCACCGACTTACTCACTCACCTACTCACTCACCGACTTACTCACTCACCTACTCACCCACTCACCGACTTACTCACTCACCTACTCACTCACTCACCTACTCACTCACTCACCTACTCACTCACCCACTCATTCACCTACTCACCTACTCACTCACCCACTACTCACTAACTCAACCACTCACTCACCCACTCACCTACTCACTCACTCACCCACTCACCGACTTACTCACTCACCTACTCACTCACCGACTTACTCACTCACCTACTCACCCACTCACCGACTTACTCACTCACCTACTCACTCACTCACCTACTCACTCACTCACCTACTCACTCACCCACTCACTCACCTACTCACCTACTCACTCACCCACTTACTCACTAACTCAACCACTCACTCACCCACTCACCTACTCACTCACTCACCCACTCACCGACTTACTCACTCACCTACTCACTCACTCACCTACTCACTCACTCACCTACTCACTCACCCACTCACTCACCTACTCACCTACTCACTCACCCACTTACTCACTAACTCAACCACTCACTCACCCACTCACCTACTCACTCACTCACCCACTCACCGACTTACTCACTCACCTACTCACTCACTCACCTACTCACTCACTCACCTACTCACTCACCCACTCACTCACCTACTCACCTACTCACTCACCCACTTACTCACTAACTCAACCACTCACTCACCCACTCACCTACTCACTCACTCACCCACTCACCGACTTACTCACTCACCTACTCACTCACTCACCTACCCACTCACCCACTCACTCATTCACCACATCCTCGCAGCGCTGATGAATCAGGAGCACCTCCTACTCCAATTCCTGCCGCTTGATACAGAAGTCCACGCAGAAAACTCGCAGAGACTCACCTACTCCCTCACCTACTCACTCACCTACTCATCTACTCACTCACCTACTCCCTCACCTACTCACTCACCCACTCACTCACCTACTCATCTACTCACTCACCCACTCACTCACCTACTCATCTACTCACTCACCTACTCCCTCACCTACTCATCTACTCACTCACCCACTCACTCACCTACTCATCTACTCACTCACCCACTCACTCACCTACTCATCTACTCACTCACCTACTCCCTCACCTACTCACTCACCCACTCACTCACCTACTCATCTACTCACTCACCTACTCCCTCACCTACTCACTCACCTACTCACTCACCTACTCATCTACTCACTCACCTACTCACTCACCTACTCACTCACCCACTCACTCACCTACTCACTCACCCACTCACCCACTCACCTACTCACTCACTCACTCACCTACTCACGCACTCACCTACTCACCCACCCACTCACTCATTCACCACATCCTCGCAGCGCTGATGAATCAGGAGCACTTCCTGCTCCAATTCCTGCCGGCTTGATACAGAAGTTCACACAGAAAACTCGCACACAGACTCACCTACTCATTCATTCACTCACCCACTCACTCACCTACTCACCTACTCACTCACCTACTCACTCACCCACTCACTCACTCACCTACTCACTCACCTACTCACTCACCTACTCACTCACCCACTCACTCACTCACCTACTCACTCACCTACTCACCTATTCACCTACTCACTCACTCACCTACTCACTCACTCACCTACTCACTCACCTACTCACTCACTCACCTACTCACTCACCTACTCACTCACTCACCCACTCACTCACTCACCTACTCATTCACTCACTCACCTACTCACTCACCCACCCACTCACTCACCTACCCACTCACTCACCCACTCACCTACTCACTCACTCACCTACTCACTCACCTACTCACTCACTCACTCACCTACTTACTCACTCACCCACTCACTCACT